AAAAAAAAAAAAAAAAAAAAAAAAAGATTGCGGCAAGGGCCAATAACAATGTTATAAGGTTGTTAGTTTAGGGATTTTAATGGTTCAAGGGATACCCGGACTATTTTGGTCTGACAACTCGTTTTGCTATCGTAAGCCGGATATGTTTATCTTCAATATCCTTTGTATATATATCTGTATAATGAATAATTAGGCTAGAAAATTTCCTAGTTTACGACAACCAAATATAAGAACTAAAAAACAGATGTCTGCGGTAAAGAAATGTCACTTCATTGACTACTGTCTTCTAGCTATGGCTTGAATTTCTAAATTAAAAACATTGAAGCCATGAGTATAAAATGTAAATTCATAAGGTTGTAAGATGACACTGGAATTGAGCCGGAACATCGGAAACGAAAATTAGAATAAAAAATTTTGTGAGAAGAAAATTGACTATATAGGGACCAATATAAAGATGAACGACACACGGTGCTCAGACCAGGAAGTCGTAATGTGACAAGCCTGGTTTTTTGATTTTAACCACAGTAAGACTAATGAGGATTGAACAAACTTTTATCGTCACACCCAAAGATATATGTTTGAAACGTTATCGGAGTTAGAATATTAGTTATCTTAGGGTTCTTAGTCAACCCCTCAATTCAAACGAGCTGTATAAAGATAAAGCCCAAAGCGCAATCATACACTAATTATTCCCTTCAAAAATATTGACTAAGGAAGAAGGAGAGCGTATACGTACGTACCTGTACTGGAAAAACACAGAGCGGAGAGTAAAACGAGACGCAGGCCATGATCTTGGCGTACTTCATGTCACTCTTTCTCTTCCTCGAATTGTTTCTATATCTTGATCTGTACGAACCGTTTTTCTCTGGTCCTACATTATTGCTCTGTTTTCGATTGCGGTTGATAAAGTAAGCCACCACAGCAAAATTGCACACACTCATAATAACAACTGATAGTGAGGTATCTATTGAATTTAAAACTACATACACCCCGGTAAGAGGATGATAACGACTCGATTTCCAATGGTAAATACAGCGCCACCAGTCTTTTTCAAATTGATCTTGAGAGGCCATTTCCACGAGAGGAAGGACGGCAATTATTAGACTATAAATCCCGAAAACTACAACAGCGACTCGAGTCGGTCGGAGGCGAATTTTCGAGCGATAGAAAAATGGTTTTGCAATGGCGAGAAATCTGTCGACAGTGATCATAGTCGAAACGATCATTGAAAATCTCCATAAAAACAGTGATATCAATGCGACCAGATGACACGTTGTTTCTCCTCCGAGCCAAACGCCAAACGTGCTGTATATAACCAGAAGAGGGAACTCTGTCAGTGGAGTCAAAAGATCCAGTGCCGACAGGGTACCAAGAAGAAAGTCTGTAGGTTTTTTTGCCTTCTTTTTCCATGTGATACACAGTGTTATTGAGTTACCAAAGATGATAAAAAGCGAAATACAAGCAAAATATATAGCTGAAATTTTCCTCTTCGATTCAAATGAAGAATTGAAAATCACAAGTCCAGAATGAGATCGGGAATCATTCCCTTCCATTCCTGTATAATTTTTCGTCCTCAACTGCATTTCGCAAAATCCTCACATCGACGAACTAGGACAAGTAGTGATAAACAAGGAGCAAAGGCGAATAAAGCATACTTTGTTTTTTGTATTATATATATGTTTGTATCCGGTTTGGAAAGTGAATTCAAGATCGTGTTGTCTTTCGATCATTGCAAGGACAAGTGAATGGCAAAAAACCCCAGAGAATAAAGCAATCATGAACTTAATGAGGTGAGATGATGTCATAATGACGTTAGTAATTGAAATTGTTTGAGTCTACCCAAGGTTCTGTGAAGACAATGATCTCTCTCTCAATTGGACATTGAATTTTCTTGTCTCAGGAAAAATCTCCGATGAAAAAACTCGTTCATTAATATTTCATCAATCACTCGAATTTTGAAGTGGCCTCGGAACACATCCTGCAAGATATGAATGAAATAATAGCGTTCCACGATCAATGATTTCGCTCAAAAGTATATGACAGATAAACGGGTTGATCCGGAATTTACTTGGTGTTTTTTTATTACTTCTGTCTTATCACTGAAGTCGCGCGTGTCAAAGAAAAACTCTTCAATTGCCCACATTTCGAAAATAGCCCTGCAGGGCAAAAAGAAAAAAAATACTGTTAACAACAACCAGCTCATAGCTTTTGATTTGAAAGCCCGGCGATGCTATTATTCAGTTTCATTTAATTATTCACATATTTCCATGGTGGTTGGGCGTTTTATTAATGTTTTTATTAATTGTGTTTGTGTGACTTTGTTGTTGTTTTTGCTATTCAAGATGTTATGATTATTTTCAAATTATTCACAGGTTTCCATATGTGGTT